GAATTGGAGATAAGCAACAGAGGGAAATCCCGACCTTTAAAGGAGATCCAAAAGGGCTACTTGTAAAAGGTTAGATTTTAGCCAAGACTCGAAGGAAGTTGGAAAAGCCAGGGATAAAAAGAGTTCCAGTCATGGAGTACAGCCAGGGAAAAATACCTGTAGTTGAGAGATGGAGTGTCTTATTTAGGAAACATCATGGTTGCCAGTGTGTCACTAGATCACAGAGTATCTGTGTGTTGAGGGGTGGCAGGTAGGTGGGTAGAGGTGTATAGAGTAAGAAGACTGGAAAGGTAGGAAGGGATCAGGTTATAGAGGGTTTTAAAAGACAAACAGAGGACTTAATATTTGATCCTAGAAATAATAAGGGGTGGGGTTGAGGGGGTCAGAATTCCCCTTTAGGAAGACCAATTTTACATTTAAGTGAAGGGTGGACTGGAATAGGAAGAAACTTGTGCCAGGGAGACCAACCAGCAAGGTATTACAATATGCCATGAGTGAGGCAATAAAGACCTGAACCAGACTAGTGGCAGTGTCAGAGAAGAGAAGGGGGTATATTCCAGAGATGTTATGAAGCTAGAAACAGCAGGACTTGGCAACAGATTGGCTATTAGAAGGAGGTAGAGTTGAGGATAACATGAGCTTGAGCTTGGGTGGCTGAGAGGATGGAGGCACCCTCCATAGTAATTGGGAAGTAAAGAAGAGGGGAGAATTCAAGGTGAAGGGGAAGATAATGAGTTCAATTTTGGATATGTTGAGTTTAAGATACCTATGAGACCATGAAAAAATGCTCTAAATCACTATTGATTAGAGAAGTGCAAATTAAAACAACTCTGAGGTACCACTTCACACCCATAAGATTGGCTAATATGACAGAAAAAGAAAATGATCAGTATTGGAGGGGATGTGGGAAAACTGGGATACTAATGCAATGTTGGTGGAGTTGTGAATTGATCCAACCATTCTGGAGAGCAATTAGGAACTATGCCCAAAGGGCTATCAAACTGTGCATACCCTTTGTTCCAACAATACCACTACTAGGTCTGTATCCCAAACAGATAAAAAAAAAAGTGGAGAGAGGGAGAGAATCTATTTGTACAAAAATCTTTATAGCAGCTCTTTTTGTGGTGGCTAAGAATTAGAAACTGAGAGGAGGGCAATCAATTGGGGAACGGCTGGACAGGTTGTGGTATATGATTGTAATAGAATATTATTGCGCTATAAGAAATGACAAGTAGGATGATTTCAGAAAAACCTGGGAAGACTTACATGAACTAATATAGAGTGAAGTGAGCAGAACCTGAAGAATATCATACATAGTAACAGCAATACTGTATGATGAACAATTGTGAATGACTTAGCTATTCTCAGTAATACAAAAATCCTAGATAATCCCAAACGACTTAAGATGAAAAATGTTATCTACCTCCAGCAAAAGAATTGATGACATGTAAATAAAGGTTGAAACATACTATTTCTTCTTCCTTCCTTCCTTCTTTCCTTCCTTCCTTTCTTTTTCTCTTTCTTTCTTTCTTCTTTCTTTTTGAGTTAACTTCCACAAAATGACTAATATGGAAATGTTTTTATATGATTACACATGTATAACCTATATCAGATTGCTTATCTTCTCAGGGAGGAAGGAGGGGAGGGAGGGAGGGATAGAATTTGGAAACCAAAACTTAAAAAAATGTTAAAAACTGTTTTTACATGTAATTGGGAAAAATAAAATATTATTTTTTAATGTCTATGAGATATCTAATTGGCAATATATAATAGGCAGTTGGATGTATGAGCCTAGAGGTCAGGAGACCAGTTAGGGTTGGGCAAATAAATATGAGAGTCACCTACATAGAGATGACCTGCATGAAGATCCAGAAAAGAAAAGTGAGAAGGAGCAGTCTGTCAGGTAGGAGGAGAGCCAGGAAAGAGCAATATCATGAAAATCTAGAAAGAAGAGAGTATTGAGGAGAAGAGGGTGGATTGACAACATCAAAGGCTGTAGAGAAGGCAAGACTTTCCACCCATCTGGGTATAAGAGTCATGCCAGCTTGGAGAAAAGATACCTAAATTGTGTCTAGCAATTTTGTGCCTACTGATGATGGATCAGATATAGCAGGGTTAATTTGATTATGTGCTAATTACAAGATCTATATGGAAGTGTCTATTTTGGTAGCTAATCGCTAATTCAACCAAATTCTGGCTTTTTTAATACTGTGCATCAGTCCAATAATTGGTGTGCTGGAATAAAGATCATAGTGAAGGTGAACTTACAAAAAAAAAATCATGCCCAATTGGCCTATTATTTTCTCAGAAATTCCATCTCTTCCTGGTCAAATGAGCAATTCTCTGGTTATGCACATAGTCAGGTAGTCAGGATTGATACAGGTTTATAGAAGATGGTCTGGGTCAATTCTGCTTGAAAGGAATATAGATTAAGATATTATCAAGCTCAACTATCACCCCACTCCATCCCCAGTCCAAAAGGCCTTGAAAATTGAGTTCAGGAACTTCATAAAAACTATTTGTAAAAAGCTAAAGCCTACATCCCAAAATTCATATAGCCCATACCAGGATTGGGAAGGCTGCCTGTCATTTGTCATCATCCTATATCCAGTTCAGAGTTTGCGCTCCCAAGAGATGCAGTCCCCTTACAAGTTAGTATAGCTGATAATCTATTAAGTCAAGGGAATAGCCATCCTGGCTGGTGATGGTTCCAGGTTCGGTAATTGAAAAGCCATACTAGTTGTCTAGTAGGAAAAATGGAAGTCCAAACAAACTTCTCATGTTGTCTTTTTCAGAGATTTCTGCAAAACTGCAGGCACTGGCCTGGTCCATAGGTAGATCCAACCCCCTAGAGTCAGAGCTCCTAAGAGCAGGTTCAGGGCAGAATCCTATGATCAAATGAGAAATAACTTCTTGGTCCCCAGTGTTCACAAAACATTTCTTAAGTTTTGGTGTTTGCTCAGGAGGGATTTTTAGCTTGTGATCCAGCAAGAGAGCCATAGCAGAAAGTGGTATACATCTGTTTCAGTTAACATGTTATAGTAACATCTTACCCTACTATACAATATTGTGTTATATACAATGCATTCCTAGCCAATGGACCTTCAAAACAAGTGTGAAAATGGGTGAGCAAGTGGTAATTAGGTCAAGTATGTCACAATGCCTTCTCACTTGGGTCCTCAGGGTCTCCTAGGTCACAGATCTGGACTTAAGTGTATGCCTATCTAATGTTTCTATAACTACTGAGTTAGTGAGGGAAGGGGGTTGTGGGCGGGTGGGTTACAGGGGAACTTCTTATTGGACAAGGATTGAGTTCATAAAGCTTCCAGGGAAGTTTTATTCAGGGTCAGGAACAGATGGGCTGTTGAACAGACTACAGAATTTGGCTACAGGTCTTCGAAGCAGGGGTGGCCCAGATTCAGTACTCCCCAAATTGCAAGTCTTCTTCCACAAAAACCCACCCCTCTATGGCACTTTTACTAGCAAGCACATCAAGCAAGAGACTATTGGAAGGATTGCCACAACTTCATCTGTGATTAAAGGTGGGACTATATATAAGCTATTTTTATCCCCATTTTACAGAGGAGAAAACTGAAGCATACAGAGCTTAAATGACTTGGCTAAGGTCATATAGCTAGTAAGTGCATGAAGCTGGATTTCAACTCTGAGCTATCAGAATTCTATTAAAGCACTAACTCACTAACTTTGGTTCTTTGAGCAGATATCTACAAAAATGGCTCCCTAGCAGAAACTACTTTTTGATTTCAAACTTTAAGAATGCTTTTGTCCTCTGTGGAAATTCTTTTCACATTTAATAGTAAAATGAATCTTCTGCCATTTGTTTTAGCCACTGAAAAATACAATAGGAAATTGGATTTTTTTTTCACCCCAAAGGGGATGTTCCTCAGGAGTAAGAGTGATGAAAAAAATCACATATAAATATTGATTAAGTGGGCATAACAATTCTCTTTCAAGAAGGATAAAGTGTTTCCACAAATAGCTGACATTTATATAAGGTTGTGAAGTTTGCAAACCCCACGTCTAGAACCAAGTCTGGCACACAGTAGCAACTTAATAAATACCTGTGGTTATAAACCCTCCAAATCGAAGGTATCTGATTGATGTCAAACACCACGCAGATCCAGTAGTTCTAGAAGAGAAGCAGAATACCAATCCTTTCCCTTAGCGATAAGTTCTTTCCCTAGTTGTGTTTTTGGCAATGGATAATGGCAGAAAGGTGCTCATCAGTAAATAGCACGAGCCTCTCTCCCCCAGGCCACTAGGGAGTGGGTTGACCTGCAAGAGATTTAGGGCCCAGAGCAGATACATGCAGCTGTAAACCGGATTGCCGGTCTTCACTACGCAATCGCGATGTTTGGGGGTTGGGGAGACGGACCTAACCGTAGAGAGCAGAGTGAAGGGCCTATAGGATCATAAATCTAGATCTAGAAGAGAACTTAGAGGTGTTTTTGTTCCACCTTTTCCAGTTAACTGATGAAGAAACTGAGGCCCAGAGAGGTTCACTGATTTGCTCAAAGTCTCACGCAAAGATAAATGTCAGAGGGAGACCTCGAACCCCCGGACCTCTGACTACAAACGCAAAGCTGTGCAGCTTTGGAGCGGGAGGGTAAGGAAGGGAATGGGAGACTGAGGAAGCATCATTAAGCACCAGTGGCCCTGGAATCTCAGAGAACTCCCATACGCTCCGCCCAGTACGCACGAGTTAATCCACGCCAGATGGTGCAGACGCTCGCCCGCGTTTCTCTTTCCCTGGAGTGGGCGGGGAGAAGGTGGTCCCCACACGCATGCGCAACTCAACCCCGCACCCCGAGTTCGCGTTCCACCGAGGAGGAGGGGCGTGTACGGAGAGTGACTGATTGGTTGCATCCGTTTGAGATTGGGCGTGCATGGCCCCGTTGGCCGCACACCCTAGGTTTGGTTGCTATGGTAGCCGGAGGCGTGGCTAAGGCGAACAATTGTCCCTTGACCCCTGTCCCCATCCCCAACCCCTTGCCCCAACAGACCCCCCTTTCCCCTGGCTCCCAGAAACCTGTCCCCTAAGAATAGAGAACTCTCTTCTTACCCACAGCTCCCAGCCTCCAGTCCTGCAGGCCATCGGTGGCAACGAGGTGCCCAGCCCTGCTTCAAAGACTGAAGCTGGTGCTGGGAGAATTAGAGAGAAGGGAGGGAGGGAACCGGGAGCGCCAGTCACCTGAGAGGGTAAGACAGCCCTACTGGCAGCTGTCCCCAGAGCACTACGCTTTCTGCTCTCTAGAGCTAAACAGCTGGAAAGGTAAGTGCCACACCGCTTTTCCGTTGCTCCTTTGCAAAACCCTCCGCTTGAGATCTTTATCCATCTTTCTCCCACTCCCTTACACACAGTCTTTTTTGTTTGTTTATAATCCAGATTTAAAACTAGGATTTTAAAACTAAGACTTCAGGTTGGGGGAGGGAAGTTTAAGGCACCTTGCTACACTGAAGCCCCTATGTCAGTTGATTGTGAAATGAGACTTCATGGGACATACCTCAGCTTCCTCTCTAAGGGGGTGGGAAGGGGGGAACACAGGCTAACAGAAAATACTTTTTTTGTAAAGTTTGGGCGATGTGGAGTTATGGACACACTGCTTTAGGGTAAATCCTAGGGCGACCCATGTCCAAAGAGCTTTGCCTCCCCACCCCTATTACTGGCCAGATGGGAGATGGAACCCTACTCAATTTTAGTGGTATTTGAAAAGCTGAAGATAACATTTCAGTGAATTCTAACATTTATGGAATTGTAATAGCTCTGATTTCTCTGGCAAATTTCACTACCTATCTTCCACTAAGTCCATCTGATGTGATGGTAATCTTGTGTTTTTGAAGGTTATGCAAACTTTGCACAAGCCCTGGGGGAGAAGGGAGTTATGTGTGTGTGTGTGTGTGTGTGTGTGTGTGTGTGTGTGTGTGTTTTGGGGGGAGGGGGAAGGGTGCTACCAAACTGGAAAGAGTTTGAATATGAGTCTGGTGATAAACTGACTATATAATTGTCATCTAAGCATCAGTCCCTTTAATTTTGGAGAGGCTGATCACCAAGTTGGCTACAGGATCATGAATTTTTTGGTCATGAAAACCTCTACTGTGATTGCTTCCATGAAGTCTTTTATAAGTGGAGGACATGCCTATAAGGATAAAATCCTAGAAGTCTTTATATAGCACTTCCAGATTTTCCAGAGTGCTTTGTTCACAACTCTGGGAGATAGGTAAGGAAATATTATCCCTGTTTTACAGATGAGAAAACTGAGACTCAGAGGTAAAGAAACTTTACCATAGACATATAGCTATGATGCAGTGGGCTTTCAATCAGGAAGACTCCTCTTCATGAGTTCAAATCCAGCCTCAGACACTTAGTTGTGTGAACCTGGGCAAATCACTTAATCCTGTTGGCCTCAGTTTCCTCATCTGTAAAATGAACTGGAGAAGAAAATTGCAAACCATTCTAGTATCTCTGCCAAGAACACCCCAAATGCGGTCACAAAGAGTCAGACAACAGCAACAAATAGCTGTAATTGGCAGAACTGAGATTCAGAACTGAGCTTTGCCTGAATCCAATTCTTATCACTCTTTCCACTGTACCTCACTGCTGCCTTTCCTCCCTGACGTGCCCAAATGCTTCAATTCGCTATTAAAAGAGGTGATGGGAAGGAGTAGGAAGGACCACCTTAGTCATTCCCAAAGTAAGAATTTCAACAAAATTCATAAGCAGTTTGAAATACTTCACAATGATATATGTATATAGTAAAAATCTCATATACCCACCTGTCCAGCAACCTCATCAATCCAGACTGTAGCTCAGTTGCTCAGTGCTTTCCATTAAAACATTACTTCATAGGAGATCCTTCAGAACCTCATTCAGAGATTTTTTTTTTCTTTTGACAATTCTGATAAGTTTGGTTCTCCAGTTGGCAGTATATTAGAAGAAAGTAAGAGGGGATGGTAGGAAGAAGATGCTATAGGGCAAAGTACATATTATGGATCCCTTGAATGTTTTTAAATGCATAAACTAAAATACATAGTAATCCAAAGGAACCAATTCTATTAAATACAGTTATCAACATATATTCTTAAAAATCAATTTCACAGACTCCAGGTTAAGAATCCTTGTACCATACAAAGATAAAAACAAAAGTTTTTGCTGTGAAAGTACTTCCATTCTACCCAGGGGCATGTAATACATGCTAGATAAGAATAATGTAGACAGACAGTTGAGGGATTGAGGGAGCAGACCTTAAGAAAATCTGAGGAACTTTTAGGAGCACTAAGAACCGGGGATAGTTAGGAAAGTTTCTCAGAAGAAATTATACCTGATGAAGAAATTAAAGGTATCTATAGTAATATGAAAAAAAAATTCTCTAAATCAGTATTGATTAGAGAAATGCAAATTAAAACAACCCTAACGTACCACATCACACCTATCAGATTGGCTAACATGATAAAACAGGAAAATGATAAATGTTGGGGAAGATGTGGGAAAATTGGAACACTAATGCATTGCTGGTGGGTGAACTGATCCAACCATTCTGGAGAGCAATTTGGAACTATGCCCAAAGGGCTATAAAACTCTGCGTGCCCTTTGATCCTGCAATACCACTACTAGGTCTGTGTCCCAAAAAATCATAAAAAAGGGAAAAAGACCCATATGTATAAAAATATTTATAGCAGCTCTTTTTGTAGTGACATAATTAGAAATTAAAAGGATGCCCATCAATTGGGAAATGGCTGAACAAGTTGTGGTATATGAATGTAATGGAATACTGTTGTTCCATAAGAAATGGTGAGCAGGGCGATTTCAGAAAAACCTGGAAAGACTTGCATGAACTCATGTTGATTGAAGTGGGCAGAACCAGGAGAACGTTATACACCATAACAGCAACATTGTGCGATGACCGACTTTGTTAGACAGATCTCAGCAATGCGAGGATCGAAGACAGTTCCAAAAGACTCATGATGGAAAATGCTCTCCACATGCAGAGAAAGAACTATGGAATCTGAATGCAGAAAGAAGCTTACTATTTTCTCTTTTTTGTTATTCTTTTTTCTTTCTCATGGTTTTTTCCCTTTTGTTCTGATTCTTCTTTCACAACATGACTAATGTAGAAATATGTTTAATATGATTGTACATGTAAGGCTTATATCAGATTGCATGCCATCTTGGGGAGGGAGGAGGGGAAGGAGGGGGGAAATTTAGAACTCAAAATCTTATAAGAGTGAATTTTGAAAACTAAAAATAAACATTAATTAATTTAAAAAATAAATTATACTTGAGCTGCAACTTGAAGGATAGTTAATTTTCTGAAAGATGGAGAATGGGGAGGGTGTATATTCTAGGCATGCATGGAGATGAGAGATGTCATGTTGAGTTTGACGAATAGTCAGGAGATCAATGTGGCTGGAACAGAGAGCACTTGAAGAAGTAAAGGTGGAGAGGTAGTTTGGAGCCAAATTGTATGGAACCTTAAAGGCTAATGAGTTTATATTTTATCTAAGAGGAATAGTTGGCCGCTGAAGATTTTTTCAGCCGGGTAGTGACCTGGTTAGACTTGTGCCTTAAGAATACTTTGGCAATTGTATGAAAGATGGATTTGAAAAGGTTAGACCAGAATCATGGAGACCAGTTAAAAAACTGTTGTAATAATCTGGGTGAGAAGTAATAAGGAGGGGCAGCTAGGTGGCACAGTGTATAGAGCTCTGGCCTTGGAGTCAGGAGGACCTGAGTTCAAATCCAGCCTCAGACACATAACACTTACTAGCTGTGTGACTCTGGGCAAGTGACTTAACCCCAATTGCCTCACAAAAAAAAAAGAGTCAAGAGAAGTAATAAGGGCATGAATTAGGGTGGCAGCACACTATCTACTATGACAGGCCACCTACAAACATAAATTAAAATGGGTATAATAAAGGAAGCTGTCAATTGGTGGGGAGGAACAACTTTTAATCAAACATTTCTGAGAAAAATCTAAGATTTATAGAGAGAATTAACAAATATATGACAGCGCAAGAGACATTTCCCAAAGAACAAGAAGTTGATGGATAAATAAAAATTTTTCAAAAGAATTGAAACTATAAACAATAGTGATAGGGATGTGTTCCTATTACTGATATGGTACCATATCTGGGGCTACTTTCTTAACCTGCACTTGCCCTTGTAGTTTGGGGTCCCCAAAGAGTGATCACTATTCTTTCAGGATTCTACGAACAAATAACTTTGCACGTGACTGCTTTTAATAGTGTTATTGCTGAGCCCCAACCAGTGTGCTCACCATTAACAATAAGTCAGCACCTTCAATTTTAAGCTTCAGTTGGAAGTCCTTTTCTTCAATCATAGAGTCCTCATGAAGTTCTCTTTGTGTATATCTCTACTGGGTGGGTAATTCAGCTAGACTCCCAGCATCCATGCCTTTCTTGAATCCATAGATAGCATTTCTCTCCACTATGATGGAGCACACTTCCATCCATTGCAGGCATTTCCACACCATTGGCCACTACTGCCTCCATGGCTATGGCAGCTACTACTACTACTACTACTACTACTACTACTACTACTACTACTACTACTACTACTACTACCACCACCATTCAGTTCAGACTGCTGATAAGACCCTGGATTTCTCAACCTTACAAAGTTGATTGGACACTTCTACCTCAAAATACTCATTCTCCTAAGATCAGAAAAGAACATAGCAATAGAAACATCCATATGCTCACAGCCAACATGACTTGTTGGGAAACAGGGCAACTACTCTTCTTCCCACTCTTAGGTAGGCAGCTCAAAGTAGTCCTACTTCACTTGGAGCTGCAAAGGAAGTATAGAGCAATGAAAGGCATTCATCTATTCTGACTGAGTTCCAGCTCAACAATCTCAAGTCATTAATTTTTCTGAATCCATGGCCATTTAGAATAGTGTTTGTCATCATATAGTACCAGTCTCTCATTCAAGCATAGCTGGAAAGACATTTCCTCAAATTTCCACATAGTCAATTGAATTCAGAATAGGCAGGGGGATATCTGTACATGCTCTAAGGACTGCCCTCACTGGCCAAGCCCACTCATGCTACATGAATATTAAGAGAAATGTAAACTAAAAGAAATATGAGGTTTTACCTAATGTCACTCTCTAACAACTCTACTGCCCAAATCCTATCCCGGGATGGCCAGGGTAAAAGAGCAACATGGCCAGTCACACCACTTGGATAAGCTAAGTGACAAGTCACAAACTGCAATCCTTCTAAGGTGAGATAGAGAATCACTAGTACTCACCAAAATTTCTACTCCTGTATCCTAAGGTCCACAGGACCTTATCAGATGCTGTGCTGAAAAGACCCCCAAGCCTTTGGTGTGGCCTTTTGCCTGAGTCCAAGTTTTACAGAACAAATCTTTTTATTGAGGGAATTTGTTTTATGAAGCTTGGATTCAGTCAAAGGGCTGCGCTTGAGGACCTACAGGGCCACATGTGGCCTCCAGGCTTAAGATTCCCCACCCCTGCCCCAGGGCATTTCCATCTAACCTGCAGATGTACTCCAAGGATGACTGGGTTTTTTATCTAAACCTCCATTATATCCTTAGGACATAAAGGTCTTTACATCTGCCCTGCAGCTGAATTCTCTTATGTGAAAGTCTTCCCCAATTAAAGTGTGAACTCCTTGGAAGCAGGGACTGTCCCTTGTATCCCCAGTGCTCTTAGCATAGTACTTAGAGCATAGTGATTAACAATACTTTTTCATTCATTGTTGTCTTCAACAAGTTATCCTTACAAATAATTTAAGGCATATTAATTTTTAAGTATTTTTAGTGAGAAAACAATTTGTAGCTGAAGAAATTTTTTTCTTTTCAAAAAAATGCTGGAGAGTAGAGAAATAATGGATGTCAAAAATATGAAGGAAGAGTCAATAGATTTTGGCAACTAATTAGAGATGGGGATGAGGGAGAGGGAAAGAAGCTATGAACTTGAATTCTGTTGCCCTCAACAATAACAGTGAGCATATGTGCATATATTCATATATTTACATGTGAATATATACACAGATATATTCATGTATGCCCATACAAATATATACGCATGCATATATAGGATCATTGTTGTTGTTGAAGGCAACACAACAACAACTCAGGCTCATAGCTTCTTCCATCTTCCTTTCCCTCTCCCCAAGCCAATGTCCACAATTATTAGTTGCTAAAACTTGTTACTTCTTCCTCTCCATCTCTGGCAATCCACATAATTCATATATATGTATATATGTACATATACACACACACGTATATACATATATCCATATATATGGGGAGGCTGGTTTATGGAAAAATATGTTGCATTTAGGCATTTGGTTTTGAATATGTTAAATTTAAAGCTTCAGTGGGATACCTGGGCAGAGATATCCAGAAAACAATTAGGAATATGGATCTTGTATTCAGAAGAGAGATCTGGGATAGATACACAGAGGAGTGTCCCAAAAGTTTTAGTGGCATTTTAAGCTTTAATAAGCATGGCATTGCCATCTAACCTGATGTACCCTTTATGTATCCTGATGTAAGCTTTGTTGTTGTTAGTCATTTTAGTCATGTCTGACTCTTCATGACCCCATTGGGGTTTTCTTGGCAAAGATAATGGAATGGTTTGCCATTTCCTTCTCCAGCTCATTTTTCAGATGAGAAAACTGAGAGGAAACAGGGTTAAGTGACTTGCCCAGGGTCACACAGCTAATACATTTCTGAGGCCAGATTTGAAGTCAGGAAGATGAATTATCCTGATTCCAGGGCTGGCATGCTAGGCACTCCATCACCTAGCTACTTGGTATAAGCTTTAATGAACTTAAAATGGCACTAAGATACCCTATATATGGATTTGGAGTCACGTGCAAAGATATTATAATATAACCTTTGGGAACAGATGACATCACTGAAGGAGAAACTCTGTACCAAGAATGTCTGGGGAGATATCGAATGTTGGCAGGAGATAGATGATCCTGCAAATAGGACTGAAAGGGAGTGGTCAAGAAGCTATAGGGAAAATTAAGTTAATATAGTGAGTGCTTTAAAGTTAGCAAAGCACTTAACATATATGGGATCATTTGATCTTCATAACTTTGTGAGGGGAGGACCACTGGCATTTTTGTCTCCACTTTACAGATAAGGAAATTCAGAAAAGTGGAATGATTGATTTACTCAGCTTTCCATAGGGGAGATTGGAACCCAGATTTTCCTTGGCCATTTCTGCTACACCATGCTGTCTCTCATGATCTTCAGTTTTAAACTTTTTTAAAAGTCTTATTCATACCTTTTCTTTTTACTTCACAGTTGTTTCCAAAGATACTTCCACACCATAAGCCTTTCCTTAGAACATGGAAAAATGAACAAGCAAAAACCACTGAAATAAGAGCAACTAACACGACAGCAAAACCTTGTCTGACAGCACATGTAATATTCTGCACCCATAACCCCCCCACATCTCCAAAGAAAAGAAAGAGGTACAGTTCCTCTTTCCTGGGTGAGAATTGGACATTGTATAACATCATCTTTAGCTTTGTTCCAATGTCCTGTTCGCTTTCATTGTTCTAAGTGAGCATCATTGTCTGTTACTTGGGAATCTGGATTCTGCTTATTTCACTCTCTATCTCTTCATACTTGTTTTTCTGTATTTCCCTAAATCCCTCACGTTTTTAGATTCTTAGGATGTCATAAAATTCCCTTATATTCATATGCCACAATTTGTTCAGACTTTCTCTACTTTGTAGAAAGCACCAATCTTTTTACCTGCTTTTTGCTTCCTCAAAAAAAAGTGATGCTATGAATATTATGGTATATGTCAGGCTTTCTTCTTTTGACTTTCTTGTAATATATTTGCCACAGTGGGATCTGTGGGTCAGAGTATGAACAGTTTAGTAATTTTCTTTATGTAGTGCCAAAATTTTACAAGAATAGTTGAATCAATCTGCAGGCCCATCAGCAGCATGTCAATAACCCCACTAACATTAAACAATTCTGTCTTCTCTCATCATCTTCCAATTTTGGGGGTATTGGTAGAAAACTCAGAGTTGTTTTTTTTTCCCTCTGGTTATTAGTGATTGGAGCAGTCTTTCCTATAGTTGTTTATAGTTTTAATTCTTTTAAGTTAATTATGTGCCAGGCACTGTGCTAAGTGCTGAGGATATAAAGGCCAAAAAAAGTTTTGAAAATTCAAATTTAATTAAAATTTTGTCTATTTCCTTTGACCACTTATTTATAGGAGAATGCCTTTTGGTCTTATCCATGTGTGTTAATTATATATCTTAATATTTTTTATCAGCTCAATTTGGGGTAGATTTCCTTATTTGAAAGTTTACTTTGTCATCCTAGCTTTAATTTACATTTATTGACAGCATGGAGTGGTAGATGAAGACTTGATCCTGGAATCAGGAGACGTGGGTTCAAATACTGCCTATGACACACAGGCTAGATTTCTTTCTTAAGGACCATACCTTAAACCTAAATCACTTTGGCTTTCATTGATTGGCCAACAATAGGTTCCAGCCCAAGCCTCACTTGGTCATTTTTGGTCACTGATGGCTCAGAGTAAGTGTAAATAGCAATTATTTCTGTTTTAGCCAGAAACCCTGAAGGTCTTCCCCTCCCCAATTGAATTTTTTGACTAGGTAAAAGAGGCCATACTTTGCCTCATTTCTTACCTAGTCTTAATCACTGAATGGTCAAACTGAGCCTTGGGAAAGACCTTAGCTTAAAAAGGCCAAGATCTCCCACTGCATCTGGGCCATCTCCTGTCATCCTGATCAATATTTTGCCACTGAAACCACATGGCTCTGGAAAAGAAAGTGAGGCTGGTGACTTTGCACAGCCCTCCCTCACTTAAATCTTATTCACTTGCAAGTCATGGCATCACCTTCCTGATGTCATGGTCTTCTTCAAGAATGAAGGCCAAACAAGGAACGATGACACATATATTAGCTTTGTGGTGCTGGGCAAGTAAGTTGCTTAACCTCTCCGTGCCAACCAGGTAACTCTTCCAGACTATATAGAAATTGCGTAGCAGCCTCACTAGGATTTCCCTATACCAATGAAATAACAGATAGAGACCCCCCCTCTCCTCCTTCAAAAAATCCAAAATTAATGACCCACTTAAAATTAGTATATTTGTTTGTATATGTATCATGTTCCACTACTTTATTCCATGAGGTTAAAGACAGTATTGTTTCCAGTTTGGGATTCTGCCTGTACCTAACACAGTGCTTTCCACAAAGAAGGCAGGTATGTTTATTGAATTGAATTGAAAAATAAATGTTTAGCAGGCAGAATACCAATTTCAGGTTCATTCTTAAATTGCTGATAAAAATAAGAAGAAAAATGAGGGCCTAGGTGAGATTAGATAACAGATTTGGAGGAGATCCAGTCAGTATAGCTGTATGGCTTCCTTTAGCACTGTTCTGTAGGATGTAAGTGTGAGTGGAGGAGATTGATAAGAGTAAATAAAGACTAGAGTTTGAAAAGGAATGAAAAGTGTCAGGGCAAAGAGACAAGGGATTCATGGGTAGAGGACAGTATATTTTGAACTGATCAACTTATGGGCTATTAGGAAAATAAGACCAGAGTAGGTCTGATGTCTTGGGAAAGCAGGAAGCCTTGATAAGGACAGAAATTTTATTTAGGGGAGATGTATGGATAAGGATTTTTGTTGAGAAGAATTTTAGAGTCATTTATTATAGAGATGGATGACTTGCAGGTATTGATGAGATCAAGGTTTGACCTTGACTTATGACTATCCCTATGAGACTAAGATAGATTGAAGGCGTAGATTATGGAGGTTGAGAAGGCTGAGGCTGAAGTCCTCAAGCATAAGAAAAGGGTTTAGGATAGAGCTGAAGACTGTAAGCCAGGCGCTGAATTCCTAGAAGAAGGAAGGAGAATGACCTGGAATCCAGTAGCCAATAGCCACCAGGATACAGATAGGGTAATATATCTGGAGGTGGTGAACCATAAGGAAGAGAAGTTGCTGAGTGACAATGTGAGAGTCTAGAAGTGTCAGTAGAGAAGAACAAGAAACACCTTTGCTCCTCTTAGTCCACATGAGAGAAGGTTGACTTTGGAGAGGGTGATCGCTGCCTCAGTGCATTTTAATGGGAACCAGATTTATGGTTTTCAGGAAAATGGAAGGAGCATGAGAAGTCTAATGTTAAGGGCAGTTGGTCCACAATAGAACCCAGGCTGCACTGGGCCCAATAGAATGGAAGTGGGGAGTGGGATAGGAAAATAGGAGGGATAAGGCAGACGGATAAATGTGTATGAGGGAGGAGAGAGGTAATTTAGAAAGGGAGGTTTCACCTGGACACCCTGTGGCTCTGAATCACAGGGATTCTGAGTGGAAGGAAAAGTTTTCTAGTTTCTAGTTTCCAATGCCTGGTGTGTAGTAAGGGCTTCATATAAAGTCTTTTTGATTGATTGATCATTAGGACAGGAGACTTTTGTGGGCTTCTCAGGTAGCAATGGTAGTTGAGCCCTAGTTCTCAACTTAAAATTGAACCATTCCCTGTGTAAAAGGTAGATGGGGTTCATATGACAAGATACCTGTCTGGTTTATCCTCTGGTTCTAGTCTGGTGGCGAAAGTCAAAGGCTAGAGGCTACATGAAAAGAAGCCGGGGTCTGTAATATTTCTGGTAATAGATTTACCCTCTGGATAGTCTGTTGTGAAGACATTATCGAGGGCAGTTCTGTCCCAGGCTCAATTCTGATGATGAATTGATTATCTTACCCTAAGTGGAAGTGATAGGGTCTCTGGTCCTGATCTGTAGCTCTTAGGGTACTCTGCCATGGTGATTCTGGCTAAAGAACTGTCAGCCTGCCCTCATTATAGAGAAGCTTTCTAGTTTCTACATTCCAAAGTACTGAAACAGGCAGGTGGCCCTGAGGAGATAAAGCCTGGAAGATAGGAATAATGCTGAGCAGTGATCACGAGATGTACTTGATAGAGAAGCACCAGAAGAAAGGAGAGAGAGAGAGAGCAGCAGAGACACAACATGATGCCCAGATACAGCCCAGCATGACGTAGGTCTGAGAATAGCAACAGAAAACAATGGCAACCCTGAATTTTTGGAGGGTGAGGTACTGTTTCACGTGTGTGCTTGGGTATCTTGTATTCCCTAAATATGACCTTCCCTGTGTGTTCTTTTTGTGTATACTCCCATATGTGAACCTTACAGATGTCTTCATGCTCTTGTGAATGTGTTTATTTGTGGGTGAGTATTCCTTAGATCTATGGGGGAAATTTTCTATTGCTACTTTTTTTTTTCTTTTTGGCAATTGGGGTTAAGTGACTTGCCCAGGGTCACACAGCTAGTAAGTGTCAAGTATTTGGTCTGAGACCAGATTTGAACTCAGGTCCTCCTGACTTCAGGGCCTGTGCTCTATCCACTGCGCCACCTAGCTGCCCCGATTGATACTTTTCTTGCTATGTTATTTCATTAATACTTTTGGTTTTAGCTAACTGGTTCTTCTGGTTGACTGATAAAAGTAAATACATTGCTGGAGACTTGTGAGCTATGGTTTGTGTGGCTTCAGACCTGCAGGGTTCTTAGAACCTGGGATAACATTTTTGCCCATGTGAAAGAAGCAGGTGGCACCCTAGTGTTATGTTTTAAAATGAGAAAATAACCCACATTTTGCTCTGTTCTTAATTCCTAAAGAAGATTCAAGAGCATAGTAATCACCTTAGATAAGTTGCGTAGATAGCTCTGTAAATCTGATTTATTTCATAATTAAATAATTACCACAATGGGATGAAAAAAAATTATATTTGGAAGAATAGGGCTTATTTCTATAAAGTCAGAATCTTATGTTAAATTAGGAAGCATTCAAGGAACTGCAAGGTAAGTGATTTCAAGAGTAGTGGCTGTCTTCGATATGTGAAGATAAATCTTTAGATTCTACAAGAATTTAACAGTAAAGCATAAGCTTCTTGAAGACAGGGAATTTTTTTTGTCTTTTTCTCACACCAAGCACAGAGTAGATGCTTAATAAATGCATTTTGTCTCAAATGTGTGGTTGAATTATGAAGGTATTGTCAAAAGGATTCCTGCTTCAAATGGTGATTGAGATTGGTTGAGAAAACCTTTGAACTTCTCTTCTGATTCTGAGATTATCTATCCTTTTGATAAGTATTAAAATGAAGGTAAATGACTTAGTTATTGTATTTTATATGTGCTTTCCATAATATTTTCCCACTGGAATACCTATATTTAATTCCTAAGTATATTAATCCCAGCTTGCATAATGAAATGATCCAGTGTCAAAATGAGAAAAATTCAGTTCTTAGGAAAGAATAACCAAAAAATATAATTTTAGTAAAACACAGAATGATTAAAAGTAATGATCTTATATTTCCATGTTTTTGTCTAGAAACAGTTTTCAGGAAGAAGTTGATCAAGAATGGCTTTATCTGATAAGCGACTTGAAAATTTGCAGATATACAAAGTTCTTCAGTGTGTCCGGGAAAAAGATAAGAAGCAGATAGAGAAACTGACCAAGTTGGGATACCCTGAACTTATTAATTTCACTGAGCCTACTAATGGTGATAGTGCCCTTCACTTGGCCTCTGTCTCAAATGATGTTGATATGGTCAGTTTTCTCCTTGAGCTGGGAGCTCATCCTGATGTGCAAGACCGAATGGGCTGTACTCCAACTATGAGAGCTGCAGAGCTGGGCCATGAATTAACTATGGAAAAATTGGCCAAAGCACAGGCGGACATGACCATAGTTGATAATGAAGGAAAAGGTAAAAATCTCAACATGATTATCAAGCACAAAAGTGTATTTACAATAGATCCCAAGAGGTAGAAGCATTATTTTCTCATTTTCTAAGTTATGTCCTTGATTTTACATAAAACGCAACATTTCCATCACTAAGCAATTTACTCAAAGCTTTTTCCAATGACCAAAATCTTAATGTAATTCAATTTATAGTTATTGTGTGGAAATTTAGCTTTCAGTGTTTTTCTTAAGGTAAAAGAAACCAGCATTAGAAAAATTAATACATTAATTGATTTTAAATGTAGGAAATTGTCAGCATTACATAGGATGATATTCTGTCTTATATTTGTAATGACAAAGATATCCTACTCATTCTTTATTTTATTTTATTTTATTTTATTTTATTTTATTTTATTTTAATTTTATTTTATTTTATTGTGAGACTGGATCTCCCTATTTCACCCAGGCTTGGAAGAAGTACATTGGCCATTCACAGGCTGGATATTAATACTGGTTGCCAAAAGAGCTTTAAGCTGCTGCATTGTTCCACATTTTTCATTTTCTACATTGGTTATCCCTCTGTAGGTGACCTTGTGTCCCTTGCTCTGGGGGATAGTGGAGAGTTATGGTAGTGGTGGTGTCACTCTATTGGTGCCAGACTTCGTCTTTAGCCATGCAGTGACTCAGAATTCTTGGACTTGAGTAATCAACCAGCCTCAGTCTCTCCAGCAGCAGGGACCATCACATCTGGAAGAAGTCCTACTTAGGGATATTATTGTCCAGATTCTTATTCCTTTCCATGTTTTAGGTAGTTCTAATAGAACTGCTGTAAGCCAGGACCCTCCCTGAGGATGCTTATCCTCTCCATAGTAGCCCCATACCCTAGACCAGGCTCAAACCTTCAGGTCCAGGGTTCAGAGAAAGATCCCATTGGTTCTGGCACTCCATTCCTAGTATTTTGATTGCTCTTAATAGACCTTGTGAATCTGCTTTGTTATAGTCATATCTGTCAGAAAAGGACTTGAATTTTCAGACCTGGGCTGCTTCTTCTGTGTCATTAATCATCCCAATACTGACATCTTGTTATTCCTCCTGTCAGGTCCCTGAGTAGTTCTGGATAGAAGGTTCTCAACACCCAATCTAGGGTTCACTCCATAAATAGACCAGATCAGCCCCAGGAATTTAGCTATTGGTTTTAGTGAGTTGGCAAGATTACCCATGTCCTAAAAAAGTTAACAAAACTACAAAACCATTAAGGTCAGTTGCTCCTTTGTGTGAAGTCATCTTAAATACATGGAGAAATTTTGTATGGTAATCTGAATTTTATAATATGAGGCAGAGTCCTTTTTTGTGATCAAAGTAAATGGCAGAATCTAAACTTAAGTTGTAGAATAAAGCTGTGGTGTTAAGCCTTTACTGAAACTAGTGTTTAGAAAACTTATGCTTGAGGGATTTGATTTGGCCTTTGACATATCTCTGTGGGCTTATCAGGATGCATATCTACATATCTATATCTATATCTGTATACACATTTACATACATATAGAGATGTAGTTAAATATGTAATTATAAATATATGCTGTATTTGCTGACTTGAAATTTTTTGCATTTCAGAAATTGATGTATTGCAGACCCTATTACTTTTTTTTCAGTTATGTGATTCTGATTTTTCTGCAGGAATTCTGTTTTACTGCTTATTGCCCACCAAAAGACACTATCGCTGTGTTCTGATTGCCCTGGACAATGGGGCAGATGTCAACAATTGTACATTTGATGGAAAGCCAGTATTTCTTAACGCTTGTGAAGAAGCACATCAAATTAAAGACGTGTGTATGAGATTTTTGGAAAAAGGAGCCAATCCAAATGCAATTAATTTGGTATAGCTTACTATGATTATAAATATTCTTTTAGTTACATATTATATTAGCATAATGTTTACATTTAAAATCTATTAAACAGTAGGAGGTAATTTGTAATTGCTTAGAACAGTGGTGTCAAACTCAGAAAAAGCAGTTACTAATCCGTACATGAGGATCCCTGTGGGCTGCATAGTGACCTAATTTTAAAGTATAATATCTATTTTATTGTATTTATATTAATTTTGCTAAATATTTCCCAATTATATTTTGATCAGGTTCAGTATGTACTCAGTCATGCTATGGGCTACATGTTTGACACCTGTGGCTTAAGAGTACCTGAAGAAGACATGCTTTCCTCATATTTTCCTATTGCCATTCAGCAATTTATTCTCTATTGGTGTTCTGGAAATTTATTTGAGAGAGACACAGGGTGGTACAGTGGATAAAGAGTTGTCCTTGTTGTCTAGAAGACCTGGATTAAAATCCCGTTATTGGTATATACTAACTGTGTAACCTTGGACAAGTCATTTAACATTATAGTACCCTAGATACACCTCTCTAAGACTATAATTTGGAGAAGAGTTGTTGATCTGATGGGTAGAGGAAGTTTCCTTAATAGGTCCTCCCTACACTAATGAAATTACAGGTTGACATTTAAAAAATTGTTTTGGAAAAAAAGTGATTAAAATTTTGCAAAAAAGTAAAATATGATTAAAGAAAAATAGTTTAAAAATGATAACAGAAAACCACTACTCATATAAATTTTATTTTAATAGAAATAAAATGTTTTGCTATTTTTTTCAATTATGTATTAAAAAAACATTTATTTAGGTTTTCATTTAACTGTTATTTTCTTTCCTTACATCATAATTGTTATTTTATGTCACTGGAATATTTTTAAAATTTACTTATTAAATACCTACAAGCTCTTTAGCTTTCGTTTAATTATCTCCTTTCATCATTTTTTCTATCACAACTCATTGATCAGCTCTTTTTAACTTTGCAACACATACTTTCCTTAACATTAGTTGTATTTTTTTTTTAATAATCACTCCTTTTTTGACATCATTCATTTTAAGTCTCAGATTTTTAGGCTTAATGATTTATCCTGTCACTTAAATTGTACTTATAAAAATTTTAGAACCTAAGGACTTAATAGTTTTTGAATCTTATATTCAGAAGGACACCATGATTTGGAGTTTGCAGAGCACAAAGCTAAAATTGAGATTTTGCTCTCTGCTGGTAAACACTTGCTTTGTATGACTGAGGTAATTGATACCTGCATTTTTCAATGTCAGTCAACAGGTAGAACTGCATTAATGGAAGCTGCAAGAGAAGGAGTGATAGATGTGGTTCGAGGTATACTTGAAAGAGGAGGAGATGTTAATGCTTATGACAACGAGAGACTCCATGCTTCACATTTTGCTGCCAAAGGAGGCTATTTTGATGTAATAATCTTGCTAAATACTTCCAAGATTCCTACCGTAGATTTTACATTTCCCTTTTCCGTAGGCCTTACATACTATTTTTAGTAAACAGAGATTTTTAAAAATTGAGCTACGTGTCTCTTGAATGCCACTATGACTTCCCAAAAAGATTATAAGCTGCAAAAATCAATTTCAGGAAAATTTTTAAAAGCATTTTCCTTGCCTTATGATCTTGTTCAATTATATGTTTTGTAGTGATTGTTTCATCTATTATACTTTACTGATAATTTATTTCAATCTGCTAAACTGTAACAGATTTTGATATTCTGCCAACTTGGAGGCATGGTACATGTTTCAGCAATGTCAACACTGGTTATTTCTTTGTTACCAAGAAAACATAAATATCGTACTGTAACCTCTCTAAAATGTCTTTTGTGAATCCATTACTCCTCTAGATTTTAATCATGTAACTGTATTGGCAAATAACAATTCATGGGTAAAATTACATAGAATAAACAAATATAACAAAATTGAAAGGGTATAAGGACTGTCCTATTTCTAAAAACAACTTCAGTCGATTAGAATTCCTTTACCCAGTTTTGATATTTAACATTTTAATTCTTTGTCTTTAAGGCTTATTATCTCAATAAAACTATGTTTAAAATCCATCCCTGTCTAGTTCTTTTATTATATTTTCTATATTTCTTTAAAAACTTTCATTTTCTTTTAGATACTGAAGCTTATTTCTGCTTATAATGGAGATGTGGTGGGGATTATTGCAATGAATGGAAATACACCACTCCATTACGCTGCCATGGGTGGTTTCGCAGAATGCTGTAGATTTATAGCTCAACGAGGTAAATTTTTCTAATTTAAATTTCTCTATATTGTAGCTAAGCAAAGGATATGGGCCTACATCTTGTCAATTTATAATATTTTCTACACATTGTGTTCAGTTATCAAATCTTAATCATGGAATCATAAATTTTTTAGAGTTGGAAGAAACTTTAAATGTCATAATCAATGGTCAATAAACATTTATTAAGCTACTACTGTGTGCTAGGTACCGTGCTAAGCTCTGGTGATAGAAGTAAAATAAGGAAAAAGAAAGACAGTCCCTGCCCTCATGGAGCAAAGGGGTTAGGCAAAAACACAAAAAGGTAAAAAGTTGGGGTGGGGGTGTGGGGAGGAGAAGGTAGCTAAAGTGAGGGCATGGAGAAATCAATCAAAGAAGTCCTAAAGTAGTGCGACCAGGTAAGAAATGAGGTGGATCATAATATCATGGAACATAAGAGCCATGAGGGTTATAGAATCTTAGCTCTTCATTTTACAGATCCGGAAACTGAGGCCCCTCAAGAGTAAGTGACCTACTTTTATTTTGCAGGGGGCAGCCAGGTGGCTCAGTGGATAGAATGCCAGACCCAGAATCAGGAAGACTCATCTTCCTGAGTTCAAATCAGACACTTACTAGCTGTGTGACCCTGAGCAAGTTACTTAACCGTGCTTGCCTCAGTTTCTTCATCTATAAAGTGAGCTGGAGAAGGAAATGCAAAATCATTTCAATATCTTTACCAAGAAAACCCCAAAAGGGGTCATAAAGAATCAGACACAACTGAAAAACAACTAAACAACAAAACAGCTAACTAGCAAACTACAGATCCAGCCTGAAAATGGGAAGAGTTTTCTCACAGACAAATCCATGACCTTAGTTCCCAAATTCATTTTTTGAAGGTAGAAAAAGCAACAAGAAGACCAGCTATTCTGGACCTGTTATCAAAAATAAGGGGAACTGGTTGTGGAAATAGAAATGAAACCTCTTTTGGGGAGTAAGTACATCCTAGAATGATGATAGATAGGGGGAGAGGAAAGGCAGGCAGAGTCTGACATACATCCTAGATTTTTAAAAAGCTGGTTTCAAGGAGCGCATCTATTAAAATTTTAGATGAGCCCAGGAAGGATCAAAGTTCTCAATAATGAAATTTTAAAGACAAAGAGGGAAATAATTCCAGTGAGGATTAAAAAAGGAAGTTGTCTAGAGAGGCAGACTTGGATGACAAAGAACTCATCTGTCAACTTAGATTTTGAAAGATACATACAGAAAACATAAATAAAGGTGGATAGAAGATGATGAATACAAAATCATGGCATTTTCTATCATTGTTGCAACATTAAAGTTTTGAATGATCTGAGCTGATAAGGAATGTTATAAGGAAAATAAGAGTGGTATTAAAAATCTAGACATTTATGGAAAGAAGGTATACTAGGACTGCTCAAGGTGGATATGAACATGACAATAAATATCATGTACTGAACTTTTTTACTTCCAAGATAGAACAAAAATAAATACTATGGAGTTGAAACACAGGATAAGTAAGTAGAGAGTAAAAAAGCATCCAATTACCCTCAGTGAGTTCAGGTTATTACACACAGTCAAATAACAACCAAAAATAGTGAAGAAACTGGTAAGTGTGTTTACTGAACTACCTTAAGAAATCCTTGAAAGAGTATGTGGCATGTACAAAGCATGCTGTAGGACAAGAGAAAGGCAAAGGTCCTGATTAAAAAAAAATGAGTGGAACTTTAAGATTCTAGGCTAATGAATTGGAGTTTAATTTCTTGCAAAATTCTTAGCATTTATTATTAAAGAAAAGTTTAATGAATATCTTGGAAAGGATTCAATGATATCACAAAGAGACAGAATGGCTTCCTAAAGAATGGTTGACCACATTTCCTTTTTTGATATATTTACTGGACAGGAACATCAGCAGAATACTGTAGAATTATATAATTTACCCAGATTTCACCAAAACATATAATGAAGTCTCACATGCTATTCTTATTGCTAATAGGAAAAGATGTGGTCTAGATTTAAGTATTGTTAGGTGGTTTTGGAACAAATTAAATAGCTGTACCCAAAGAATAGTCATTAATGGTTCAATGTCAACTTGTAAAATGATAATAGAGTTGTAATACCTTAAACCTGGGCCTTTCATTGTTTTTATCAGTGATTGAGATAAAGGCATAGAAGGCATGTTCATCATATTTTTAGGTGACCCAATGCTAGGAAATGTGCCAAAATGTTATATGATACCATTGGAGTCAAAAACAAACAAAACAAAACAAAACAAAATCTACACTACCTACAACATTCGGCAAAATCCAATAAGGTGAAATATTAATAGATACCAATGTAAAATCTTACACTTGAGTACCAGAAGTCATCTTGACAGATATAAGTTGGAGCACATATAGCTAGATAGTGGCTAATTTGAAAAATATCTTGGGGTTTTAATGAATTGTAAATTCAGTGTGAGTTAACAGCATCATAAAGCAATCATAAATTCTAGGTTGCATAAGAAGAGGCACAGTATCCAAGGCTAGGAAGAGGATAGTTTCCACTATAGTCATTGGCCTGTTGTGTCCAGTTCTGGGTTCCACATTTTAGAAGGGATGTTGTTAGGCTGAATAGTGTCCAGAGGAGGATGACCAAGATTCTGAAGGATCATACCATAGTTGGATCATTTGAATGAACTGGACATACTCGGCGTGGAGAAAAGGAGACTTAGCTTGATGGCTATGTTCAAGTATCTAACTGGCTATGAAAGGGAAGTGTAGGATTATACATTTTCCTGCGTGGCCCCATGTAGTAGGACTGGTCGTAATGATGTTAGTTTTAGGTAATCAAATTTAGGCTTCGTGAAACTAAGATCATAATAATTAGAGCAATCCAAACAGTAGAATGGCCTTCTTGAGGGATTCAAGCAAAAGCTGGATTACAATTGCCAATATGTACTAAAAGGGATTCTTTGGGTCTAGCCTGTATCGGATGATACGCAAAGTCCTTTTTTCTACTTTTGAGATCGTAATTTAGTATGTTCTCAGTTTGTTAGATTATCATAGTTTCACAAGAGAAAGATATGAGCCCCATTTCACTAATTCAGCAGAACTTATAAAGGGTTAAAAAGTTGTTGAGTCAACTATGAATAAATTAGGTTTCTTAGTAAACAAATTCTAATTAGATTTCTGAGTACATAAATTCTAATAGTTATTTTGGAAGTTTGTTTTTAAAACCCAACATAATATATGATAGAACAGTTACTAAAATGTATGTGGGGTTTTTTTGGCGGGGGGGAAGCAATGAAGAGATAAATCCAAAATGGCAGTCCATTTCTGATGAGCTTATTTGTTTGTTTTTCTGTGTTCTTTATGCCAGAGTTACTTTTAAAGAACATTGAAAATCAAGTATAGCTTGGCTTACTTATAAAAAAATTTGTATATTAAAATTAAATGTGATTTATTTTAAGAATATAAGATCTTTTTTTAGTGTGAACACTGGCTCCACCAGTGCTGATTGTAATCCTCTCTGAATAAATAGATGGTCTTTGAGAATTACTGAGACTGATAAATGCATTATCCTAGACCCAACCTCATAGTAAACATCCACAAACTTCACTTCACTTATGTTCAGACAGCAGGTATAGTTGATCCATCAGCTGGTCCACATTCAATTTTTTTCCATCTTGGTAAGACCTGTCGTAGTATGATACTTTGCTGATATAGTCTTTAAGTAGTCAAAATCACATGCATGACAAAATGAGACATTACAGTGGAGGTGATACATAAATAATAATTACATGGTGTATTAGTACAAGATGTTTAATGCTTTCCATTGTTTTTCATTTTTTTATTATGATGTTGAACTTAACCAATCAACAGATATTTATTAAGTACCTATTATGTGCTAGGCAGCCTCTCTCAGTCAATAAACACTTATTAGGCAACCACTATGTACTAGTCCAGGGGTGGGGAACCTGCAGCTTCAAGGCCACATATGGCTCTCTAGATCCTCAAGTGCATCCGTTTGACTGAATCCAGATTTCACAACAAATCCTCTTAATAAAAGGATTTGTTCTGTAAAACTTAGACTCAGTCAAAAGCCCACATACAAGGGCCTAGAAGGCCACATGTGGCCTTGAGGCCACGGGTGCCCCACCCCTCTACCAAGCAATGGGGAAACAAGTACAAAAAAATGAAACAATCTCTACCCTCGAGCTTATACTATAATGGAAGGGACAGGTCTCTATATATGTCTATATGTATATAAGCACACATATGTATGTAAAATATATAGTCATGTGTATATGTATACATGTTTTATATGTATATACATATATGTGTATACATTTTTATTTGTACAGAATAAATATGAAGAAAATTTACATAAGGTTGTAAAATAAAAGGGAGGGAATAAGCATCTGGGAGAGTCAAGAAAGACTTCATGTAAGTAATTAAGAATTTTTTTGGCCAGTGTTTGACAAATAGTCCAGAACTTGAACGTTGATGCCTTATAATAAAGAGGATGGGGTTTTTTTGGTCCTATTTCATTTTCTAGACTAAATGTCCACCATAGTTAAGTTGATATAGAAAGTGCTAGCCAGTTTTTAGAAAATGTGCTCAGAAAAGAGTAGAGGAAAAAAACCCTTCCTGAATTTAACTTTTACCAAATTAACATTTCCCTTCTCATTTTCTACATTGTTTTTCTCAGATATTTCTACTTTTTCTGGTATTTTAGTTTTCTTAATGAAATTTTTCTTTCTGAAAGCTAAAAAGTTTGCTCTAAATCAAGTTTCTTTATCACTTGACATGTTAACTTATATTACGATTTGATACAAGTATTTATAAACCCTGATCAAACTGTCCTTTTATATGTGTATGAAAAAATATGAGGGAAGTAAGAAGAGTCTAACATTCTCTTGTTTCACAGGCCTTGCCATCTTGCTGCAGGAGGCAAAAGAGAGAAATATTTTACAGAATCCCAGATAGTATTTCTGAGAACCAGCAGTCTCAGGGATGTTAA